TAGCCAAGAACTAAACTGTAATCTTGAACCACATGGTCCCCAAGCCCTATCTAGAAATTACTCCATTACACAGATACTTAATTCTTTCTCTTTGGAAAGAAAGTCTCACTATGCACCCCAGACTGGACTAGAACTCACAATCCTTCTGCCTCAGACTCTCCCCATGCTAGGCATCATGTCAAAACAAAACAAATCACTGAACTTTCCCAAGGATAGGATGCCCACATCCCAGGTGACAGCTGAGAATGAACAAAGAATGCCTATTTAAGCTCCCACACAATACAGGCTTTTCTACATTTCAGGTGGTAGCCCTGCAGCAAGTGCCCAAGTGCTGTTTATTGCTTCCTCAACTCAAGGCTGCTATGGCATACCTTGTGGAGAAAACACAAATGGCTGTGCTGCAATATTCATGTCTCTCTTTCTCTCTCTCCACATACACACACACACACACACACACACACACACACACACACACAACCAAAAACAAACAAACAAATATAAAACAAAGTTGTGCACTGACTGTTGATAAAAACAGGACCAGAACTTTCAGGACTGAACCTTGTGGGATTTCCCTCTTGGGCAATGATTCAGTACTCACTAATACTATCACAACTGTTCTTACATGCAACCAAAGAAAAAGCATGAAATAGTAAGCACTTTATCAAATGAGAGAATGTTCCCCAGGCTCAGAAGGGATATCCAATTTCCCAAGTAAGGTAACCCCGAAAACTGCTGACTTGGTGCTATTTTGTATTCAGAAGGCTAAAAACAATGCATAAAAAAAATGCTCATTACATCCCCACAGACAAAAAAAGACCAAGTGGTTGTTCCATAGTATGTGTGCACCCTAACAGTCATGAAAAATGCTATTAGGATAAAAGAAAACAACTCATTAATGCAAACTATTATCAGTTAATTCAGTTAAATTATTCTTTTTAAGCCTATTAGCACAGAAATAGGATAGATTTTATTCTGGCAATACCAGCAATCTGCCTGCTCTTCCACCCAATGAGGGTGTTCAGTTCCCAAGGCCTATCTCAGTTCTCCAGTGTGAGGTCAAAATAACCCGCTACAGGGCCAACAGCTTAAGAAGGGCCTTCTTTCAACCTTAAATAACTGGCTGCACTTGACTGACTTAAAAAATGGAAAATGAGGCTATGTGTAGTTGCTCATACCTTTATCCAGCACTGGGGAGGTGGCAGAGGCAAGCCAGTCTCTGAGTTTAAGGCCAGCCCAGTTTTCATACAGAGTTAAAGAACAGCCAGGAGTACATAGAGACCCTGTCTCAAAACAAAACAGAACTACCAAAAGTAAGGAAAGAAGGAAGGAAGGAGAGAGGGAGGGAGGGAGGGAGGAAGGAAGGGAGGGAGGGAAGGAGGGAAGGGAGGGAGGAAGTCGGTCGGTCTTTCCAAAGAATACTGACAAACTTCAAGGGCAGTTCTGGACAATACTTCACTTTCTCAGTAAACACTAACCACAGAACCAAATATGCAAATAAAGTACACCTCTACTCATTCTGACCCAAGGGTTCCCATCGTCAGACAGCAGTATAAACTGAATTTTTTTACCATGTACTTTCATGGTATCTCATAGTGATCAAATTGTTCTCATATCAACTGTTTCCATGCAAAAAAGACTGCATGGGGTCAGGCCAGGTTCAGTTCCCAGCATCCACAACCATTCATAACTCCAGTTTCATACCTCACACCTTCTTGTGGCCTCTACAGGCACTGCATGCATATGGTCTACATATACCCTCATACGCATAAAATAAATACATCTAATAAAAAATGTTTGGAGATGGGATAAAACACTTTGACAAATGTTAGTTGCAATAACAGAAACATTAAGAGTGGCTTTTTTTTTTCTTTAAAGAGAGGGTCTTATGTAGCCCAGACAGGCCTCAAATTTGCTCTGTAGCCAGGGTGACCTTGAAATTCTGATTCTCCCATGTCTACCTCCTTAGTAATGGAGTTATAGACCTTTGACACCACACTTTAGTGTGGTGGTTTGAAAGAAAATGGCCCCAAAGGGAGTGGAACTATTAGGAAGTGTGGCCTTCTTGGAGTGGAGTGATCTTGAAGGACATATGTCACTGGGGCTTTGACGTCTCTTTTCTCAAGCTTCACACAGTGTGACAGTCAACTTCCTGTTGCTTGCAAGATGTAGGACTCTCAGCTCCAGCACCACCTCTGCCTGTATTCCATCACACTCCAAAAGCCATGATGATAATGGCCTGAACCTCTGAAACTGTAAGCAAGCCCCCTCAATTAAATGTTTTCTTTTATAAGAGTTGCCATGGTCATGGTGTCTCTTCACAGCAATAAAAGCCCTAAGACACCTAGTGCTATGGCTGGTTTTATAACGTGCTGGAGCTGTATGCTAGGTAAGCTCCTACCATGATCGTGACTATTTGGGTTCAAATCTCAGGCATTTAAATTACACAACCTTTTGGAGCCTTATTAAATTCAGATAGTGCACACATCATCATTATGGAGACAAGTTCAGTGTCTTGTAAGTAAAGAGCACTCAGTGTTCCTAGGAGACAAGACTCAAAGTCACACGCCTACTTGACTAACAGTTCTTCAGTAGACACCTTTAAACTCCCAGCTCCATGCTGAAAAGCTGCAGGTGGGTATGATGCGGTCATCCTCTCCCTCAGATGCCCTAAACATGTCTACTTCAGTGGGCACCCCCCTCCCAAGGACTCACACACCACATGTGCACACGAGTGTGCAAAGGCTACACCGGAGCGTTCAATGGCTCTGAGGACTCACACAGCACATGCCCAAGAGTGTTCAGCGGCCATGAGGAGGCATGATGGAAAGGAAGCTAGCTAAACTTGTTTAGACAGCAGCTCTCAAGTGTGTCTGATGGAATTTCTCTGCAGAATTACCATAAACACCCACAGAACTCTAATTCTCCTGAATGTAACTCATTCTTTTGAACATGCGTTTAGAAATACTGATTTTGATACATTCATGTGTAATAGTAAAATAGTAGACCCAAGATGTTTACTTTTTAAACTATTTTGTTTTTTGAAACAGTCTTTCTCTGTCTCTTCTCTCCTCCCCACACCTCTCCTCCCTCTCTTCTTAGTAGCTGCGGCTATCCTGGAACTTGCTATTTAGAACAGGCTGGCCTCAAATCTACAGAGATCCATCTGCTTCTGCCTTACCCTAACATTGAGAATAAAGGTGTGTGTCACCATGTCTGGCCCTTAGCTTCCTTTTTAAGATTTTTATTTTGTGTGTACTGTTTTACCTGCATACATGTCTGTGCACCACTTGTGTGCCTGATGGCACCCAAAACCAAAACAGGGACTCTGAACCCCTGGAACTTGAGTTACAGATGTGAACCACCATGTAGGTGCTGGGAATGGAACATGGTCCTCTGGAAAAGTAGTCAGTGCTCTTAACCGCTGAGCCATCTCTCCAGGCCCTATATTTAGCTATTGTTGAGATGATGTCACACTGTGTTGCCCTGGTTGACTTCAAACCAACAATCCTTCTGCCCCAGCCTACCAAGCAGCACCACACTTGACTGCTAAATGCTTTGTTATTCCTAAATCATTATTTGATAGCTAGCCTTGAATGTGTGTATATATTCTGATATATACTGTATTTAGGCCACTAGAACATTTTTATCAAAAGGCTTCAGAATAAGTAAGACTGCCCAAGAATTAAGAAGTGGCTCATCTAATGGAAGGCAGGGAGGAAAAAGATGGGGGAGAAGTTTTACTCTTTGCTTCTAAACTGACTTGTATGACCTATCTTATTCAACAAATCAACTTCCCAAAAATGGTGCAAATCTATTGCTATATCATGACCTCTGTGGTCATTACTCCTGGTACCCTCCCCAGTGGACAACAGAGAATAGAGCTAGTGAACTATACGCCCTCCCCACACACACACACACACAAAGAAGCTAGTTATATAACAAGAAAATGGGCACAATTATCAGCATTTAAGCAGTCTTGAAAATTTCCACTGGTCTCTATTGTAATTACAATGTTGCGGAAATGTCCAACTAGACCTTTTCAGGACCTCTAGTGTCCAAAGTACCATAATTCTTCATGGGGGGGGGGTGTAAATAGTTACCAGGTTTGGTGACACCTATCTGTAAATCTCAGCCCTGGAGGTTGAGGCAGGCTTGCCAGGAGTTTGAAGCCAACCAGGGTTATATATTGAGGGAGTGACCCTGTCTTAAGAAAACAACCTAAAATTGCATACAAATATTAAGATCTACACCTAGAAAATCGCGTAGTTGTATAATGTAAACAAGCAAAATATAACTTAAAACAGGCTGCAAAGCTTACTAGATAATGGGTCTTCCAACTTTTTTCCTATTCTACACATATATCTGCACTTAATTCGGGTGATTGAGTACATGTAAGAAAGCAAAGTCTTTTGACCTGTGAAACAGACATTTAGATGTGTTCTGGTAGACAAGTGAAATAAGTATGCATATGGCTCAGCCACTTACCAGTGTCAGTTCGAAAACCAGTTGTTATTGCCCAAGGTACCAGAGCCCCTTGAAAACTCCTCTTTCACTTCTGTCTTTTGCATTAGGGAAGACCTAAACCTCAAGGACCACTAATCAAGGCCACCACCTCTCCAGACCACAGCCCAACACATGGTGGACTCTCATCCTCCAGGAGACAGGGCACACACCTACCCGCAGGCCTGTCATCTCACCTCCTCCCAGCTGACCTGCCCTCCCCCAGGCCTTTGCTGAGACCACCTCCACGTCTTCCTATCCTTTTCTACCTAACCAAAAGCAAAGACAGGGGAGGGAGAAGATGGTGGCGCGAGGAAAAGCACCCCCCGCCGCCTCACTCTTCCCCATTCCAGAGACGCAAAGCCACACCACCTCTCCTTGAGCCCATAGGCAAAACCCGCAACACTGAAAGATTTCTTTTTCAGATGCTTTTAGACACAAATAACTTCCCCGCTCCCTTCCGCCCCTCACCTTCACGAAAGCAATCGGGGTTGTGGTACCTTCGATATCTAACAGGATAACTGTGACTTCGGCGGGCACCGAAACCACGACCATTTCCCTGCCGGATGCTACCACGGGCTCGGCCGCGCTGGTAAAGAGGACAACACAGCCTGTGCCCCCAGGACGCCTCGGGCTCCCGAAGCCCAGCAACAATCTGAGAACTGGCAGCAGCGAGCGGCCAGAGAGGTGGGCACA